TATCAGAGAACCAAGTTCAAAAGTCTGGAGTCCTGGATTGTTTGCTGCATATCCAGTTTTGAAATACTAAGTCTTGATCTGTTTTTACTCCAGTAATATTAAAAAAAAAAAATTAAAAAAACCCAGGTTATTAATTTTTTTTTAAAGCCCAGTGGTAAAATGTCACATTATAAAGCTGATACCTTAATAAGGTGGGGCTTTTCCTTACTATTGACATTTAAATGCAGAACACTATTGAAAATATGAATGCAGTGCTGTTTCTGGGTTAGCTTTCTAGACCACTATGCGAGTCTTTCTTGCTTGTCTGGGAACAAGTTAACAGACCCATCACAGTTGCTTAGATTCCTTTATTGGCTTCTGTTTTACTAGGTTCACAGTTAACAGAAGAATTTCCATAGTGGGATTTGGATTATATGGATCTATTCATGGACCCACAGACTACCAAGTTAATATACAGGTACAGTGTATTCTATATACGCTTATTTAAGCAGAAACTATGCTTAATACAAAAGGTTTGGAGTATATTTGGATAGAGTAGGAGCAGTCTGATAGGTCAGGAGTCTAACCTGTTTTATCCCCAGCAGTCATAACTGGATGGCCGGGGAAACATAAGAACAGTATAAAACTTACCTTCCTTTTCAGTCTATTCTTGAGTCATTTTCAGAATAGGTATTTCTTGGGGCCAGTTTGGTCTTTCAGTTTGGTAACTCCCAGTGAATTGTGCTGCAGAATACTCCTATGGTCTAACCTCAAATTCCTGCAAGTTGTCTGTAACTGAATTTCACAGCTTTACAATCGGTTCAGTTGTGCATTAAGTCTGTCCTCTTAATAATGTTTCTAGTAATTCAGGAAAGAATTTTGCATTTGTCATTAGCAGCTGTCAGAAATTATTGACATATGTAATGACTGCCAAAAAAGTCTGCTAAAAAAGCCCACTGTGTCATCATAAAGGTACTAGAAAAAAGATAAGATGGCACTGTGTTACTTCATGAAAGCAGGGCATGCTCGCATCTTGGGTCCTGTGGGAAGTATTGGTCTCTCACTGTATAGTGCAGAAGGTAGTAAAAAGAATAATGAAAATTATTCATAAGCTACTGCTTTATGAAAGTGTGACCAGAAATGCTAGGACACCTTGCGTTTGTAGGGGAGGAAGTAATGAGCAGAGGGGAGCAATACTTGTGAGAGCAGTGGGTAAAGTATCCTTCTTTTGGATCTGATCGTGTTTGAACGTGTGCATTCACCTATGGCGGACTCCTGAGAAGATTATAGAAGAGAGGTGTGCACTAAATCTTCCCTAATGAGATAGTTCTGGATGGTGGGGGAATGGAGCTCAGACTCTTATTTTAGCTTCTTTTGAGCCAGCTTCCTTATTTTCCTTTTTGAAGTTCAGCACAGCTGTGGTAGATTTGATTTTGTTGTTCGTGTAGGAATGTTGACTCTGAGTATATTATGGACACTGTTACATAGTGTTTCCATTATGAAATTTTAAATCTGATCCTGCTAATCACTCAGTACCAAATGAAGGGTTGTGTTTCTTCCTACTGAGCAAGTGGTGAGCAAGCTCATGAAACGATCAGTGATAGTATCTAAAAATGTCCCCCCTGCTTCGTGTCCTGATGTGACACTTGCCCAGTCTGAGAGGCTAGTTGAAGATGCCACTAAAACTGTATTTCCTGCTCCTGTAGCCTGTCTGATCTCTCTTAGGACGTTGTGCTGAGGATTGCCTGCTAGTAATGTTGATCCACCACTGTATCCTTCCCTTTAAAGTATGGAATTTCAATCCATTTGAATTCTCTTACTGAGTTTAGCTTTGGTTTGATTCTAAGCTTTCTAACAAAGTTTTAACTTTCTGCAGCTGCACTGTTACTCTGTGCTGTGCGTGTTAAAGCCTGGCATTACAACACTGCATTGATTTACTGGGTGTGTGGAAAAATTTGTGAAAGAACCTGTGACTTCAGTTAGGAACAGACACTCCCCATCTTATTTGTCCCCACCTTATTTGATAGACATCTAGCGTTTGCTGGTAATTCTGTTTCAGTTTATTTCTTCACGTTGTATTTAAAGGGCAGTTTGTCTTCTGCTTCCTGTTTGATGCTTACTGCTCTGTTTTGTACTTAAGGACAGGAATTCTGTGCTGCCTACCAGGTTATATCACACCAGTCTGTTATGTTAAAGGAATAGTACTTCAATATTAGAATTGTTAGTATTTCTTTAGATTGCGGATGGAAAAAATGACCATGAAACCCTGTTTCAGGGAGCATACCTTGCCTGAAAGAAGGACTTCATGATTGTTGTTGTTGTTGATAGTTTTTAGTGGAATAGTCATTAGAAATGTGCATGTTACTATAAAGCTCTGATATCCTACTTCTCCAAGAAATGTTCAGCAGCGTGGATTAGAAATGGAATGAGAAGTGTGATATCTGCTGCTTGTGGTGTCCTGGCTAGTGACTCCTGTTTGCCAATAAAACTGAAGGCAAAAGAAATATGAGATGTGAACATAAAGACATAAACAGTGTAAAGCATGGAAGAACAAGTCCCTGCTTTATTCTAAGAACACGTCATTGACTGTTCATCTGTAAAATCTTGTTTACTGAATGGGCCACAGCCAGTGAAACATTGAGGTCCAGCCTCATGCGCTTCTCTCATGCGGGCTGTGTAGGTGTGCAAAGATCAGCAAATCTAAGTTACAGGATCACGTGTAGATTATTAAGGTCAAATGCTAAAGGCTTAAGAGCTATTTATCTCCTGTCAGACAAAGCCTTTAACCTGGTTGGTGTGGCACTGTGGGCTAGATTGGGCATACAGAATGGACAGCCTGTGTAAAACTCAGAATCTGTGGCTCAGCGCAAGGCCGGGTCAGCCCTCACAGTATTACTGTTAGGAAATTAAAGCTACCTTTTAATCTGAGGTGCACTGTTGTTGTAATTAAACTGGGTGGAATAGGCAGGTGTTTTCTTGGAATGTTCCAGTGTGCATACAGTGAGAGCCTTTTGCAAGTTTGTAAATGTAAAAGCACAGTTCTCATGTTTTTCTGCAGATAATTGATTATGAGAAGAATCAAACTCTAGGACAAAACGATACTGGATTTAGCTGTGATGGAACTGCCAATACATTCAGAGTTATGTTCAAAGAACCTATAGAGATTTTGCCAACAGTTTGCTACACAGCCTGTGCAACATTAAAAGTAAGAATGCTTAACAGTATAAAGTAAAACATTATTGTAATGCAAAGGTTTTTCTTTCATCTGTTTCGTGATGGGAATGTGTCGTCTTGGGGTCTTATTCTTGGTGTTGTGTGGAAAGGAGGCAGTAGCTAAACTGTGTGGTAACTTTTAAAGCTGCTTTCTCTTTGTTCTGTGCACAGAATTTATAACTGGATCCTGTGTGACTTCACACAGGAGTTAAAATAAATCCTAATGAAAGTCACTGTGGATCTATGTGGGCAAATGCACTATTTGGAATATTTAATCTGGCAGCTGTCTTTATCAAAACTTGTTTGATTTCTTTTGTTAAGGACCAGTTGTAATCAAAAAGACTGAGAGCTTTCTTTTCTTGCTTTTATATGCCAACGCTAAAATAGAGGAAAACAATGATTTGTCCTAGGAAAATTGACTCATTCAATGTTTTCTGTAAAAATTTTTTATAAATAAAATTATTTTAAAGATAATTCCCTGTTCAGAAATCAAAGTCAAGTGGATTGAAAAAAAAAAAAGTGCTGCATCTGAAGTGGGAGAATAAATGAGAATATAGACAACTTGTATGACAAGAAGTATGAGAAAACGTTCATTCATTATTAGTGGGATAAAACCAAGTGGTTTAGATCTACTGTCAGAGAAACCTTTCTTATTTAGACTTAAAGAATCTGTTTCTGTTATCTGTAACTTGTTATGCAACTTCTGTTATGTGGATACAAACATTTTTACTGTTAAAATGATTTAAGTCAGTGGTGTTTAAGCTTCAATATTGTATGGGTCGTGCTTGCATTTCCATTCTGCTGCTAATCTCTTGCTGTTTTTCAGGGTCCTGATTCCCACTATGGAACAAAAGGATTGAAGAAAGTAATCCACGAATCTCCTACTGCTAGCAAAACATGCTTTGTGTTTTATAGTTCGCCAGGTAACAATAATGGTACATCGATAGAAGATGGACAGATTCCAGAAATAATATTTTATACATAATTTCATACGATCATCTACATGTCAGCATATCAGTGGACTTTCAGGGTCACCCCTAGTGAGCTAGGCAGCGCTGTGAAATGACCTGGATGTGTAAAAGCGGTACTGACTTGTTTGAGAGGTACCAGGAAAGCGATTTTATCTGCGTCGTGGTTGGTGGAACCTAATTTAACTTTTCCTTTTAACAAAGTGTGCAGTAAGTACTCTGTATACTGAAGATTGTTTTGAATGGTATGTTGTGATTTAATGGCTTTGTATTTTGAACCCTTTGTTTCTCATACAGTTGAATTCATTTCTTGAACTGGAAAATACGTACTGGTTATGAATTTCATTTGTACCTTTTCCTCAACTCATCTAACAAAGACAGTGCCTCTGCTACTGTACTCCCAGCTTGCACTTCTCTGTAAAATAACCTTGGAATGACCCTGTGGACATAAGTTACTACTATTTTTTTTTTGTTCCAAGTACATCAGCAAAGCTGGATTCATATTGCTATCAGTGGTGAGTTGTTGAATGAGTCCTGGAGCGTTGATGAACTTAGCACTCCAGGCATTATCTGCAGCTGCAGTGAAGAAATGCTATAGCAAATCCTGCAAGGAATGGGTCTTTCCAGAATCTCTTTTAATTAAGAAGGGCTGTTTTGGAACATAGAGCCGGTTATGGAAATAGCCACTGTATATACATATGTGCCTATAAGAAAATGTACAATGTGAAAATGGGAATACAAGCCTTGTTATGATATTATTTTGACTGGGCAATAATCTAATACTAAAGAATTATTATCAGCTGTGGCCTATTTGCGTGCAACTTGCTCTGTGGTCATCTGCTGCAGGCCATGGAAGACATCGTTTCCGGTCGAGTTTCTCCGCGCGGAGCGACTGTGCCGCGCATGCGCAGCAGAGGGGCGGGGCTAACGTCGTTCCCGGAAGGGCCGTGCCGAGCCATGCCGGCCCTCGCCGGCTTCCGTCAGCGGCTGGCGGCGCCGCTACGGGCCCGCGGCGGGGCCATGCCCCGGAAGGTGCGGGCGGGACGGCCGGGACCGGCGCCCAGCGCTTCGCGCCGGCCGTCCCGACGCCCGTTTCTCTCTTTCAGGGAAAAGCGGCCGGGAAGGAGCCCACCGAGCCCGGCGCCGCCGCGGGGCCGGTGTTGGCAGCGGGCGACGGCGGCGTCAGGGTGTCGGTGCGCGCCAAGCCCGGCTCCCGCCGCAGCGCCGTGACAGGTGGGCGCCGCCGGGCCGGGAGCGCGGAGCGGGGCACGCGGCGCCGCGTGATGCGCGTCGGGGCCGGACGGCGCTGTGCGGAACTGCGGAGCGCGTGGCCGGGCGGAGCCGCGCTATCGACTTGCGTTCGGATGACGAGCGGCTTTCTTTCGCTCTCCTGCACGTAACGTCGTCCGCACAGCCGGCTGCTCGCGCGCGGATCGGAGCCGTGTTTCGCACAGGTGCGCGGCGCCCGCGCTGCCGGTGGCTGCGGGTCTTGGTGGCGTAAGGCGGCGCTGCCCCCGCAGCACAACGGGGAGCCTCAGCGCTGCGCCCGGTGGCTGCGGTGCCGGAACCGGTTACGCGCGACTGTCCGACGCTGCGCTTTGTGCTGGAAGCATAGCGTTCTGCGCTGCCAACAGCTTTGAGGGCTTTAAAGACGCAGAGTCGCCCGCAGATATGGGAGTTAGTCGGGTCTTAAATTAAGATGCTTTTGAAAGCATGAACATCCATTTCTAGGGAATGACAGTTAGACACTCTGAACGCTTGTTCCGTTCCCCGTTGTAGATGTGACAGCCGAGGCGGTAGGTGTGGCTATTGCTGCACCGCCTTCAGAAGGGGAGGCGAACGCAGAGCTGTGCCGCTACCTTTCCAAGGTGCTACAAGTGAAGAAGAGTGACGTTATTTTAGAGAAGGTACTTTTTTTTTTTTTTTTTTCTTGCTTTTTTGCCTTTTTTTTTCCTTTCAGTCTTATTCTGTTGCGCTGTAAATTCGAGGCTCTGGAATGTTATTCACCGAGTACAGCAAACTCAGTCCAAAAGGCACTTGAAAAGCTTTCAATTGACTTAACAGGGTGATTCGCTAAGGAAAGAAAACTGGGATAAGAAGAACCACAGCTCTTCTTGAGATCTTTAATGAAAATAGTTCTAATTATGTGTTTTCAAAAATGTATTTGGATGTGCCTTCTGTGGCTCTTAAAGAGCCTTTTGTTTCCATTTCAAATTCAGCTCACGTAATTTATGCTTTGCAGAAAAGGTGCATTTTAGGGAAAAAAAATTGCATTCATTTTTTGAAGGCACTTCTGTATTTTCTGACAAGTACCTGTGGCACACAAGTAGAGTGTATGGAAACATCACCGTTACGGCTGGGCCTTAGGAGTTTCTTCACATGAGCTGTGTTGTGTGTTGACATGTGTTGACTATGTTAGGTGGAAACTGTTTTATTCATCACGCTGAATAAATAATTAATTTCACTTTGTGAAGGTGAGGACTCAATGAAAAATGATGCCTCTTATTTTTCTATATTTAATGCACTAGTTGGAGAAGTCTTTTAAAAGATGGTCAGGGCAATATGATCAATGAACTGAGCCCTGCTTGGGGGAAAGGTAGAGGTGCTGAGGTTTGATTCTTTTTTTCCTGACTCCTGTGTAAATTCTTTAATTTTGTCAACATTTTACAAATTACAATTTTCCTGCCTTGAAGAGTTGTTCAGATTTAATTAATAAATATAAATGCTAAGCAGAGCTAAGGATAAAAGGGACCAACATTTTCTGACCTTCTTAACTCAGTCCTCCAGTGTCCACATAAATACAAGCTAGTGTTTGTTTTCCTCAGACCACTGTTTGTTCTTGGTGGAGCACTGTGTCAAAGTTTGTACTTTATTTGTGTCTTTCCATTCTGATCTGCTAGGTGCACACACTGAGTGGTTTTTGTACTGGTTGCTCTCTGCTGTGTGCTACTTGCTTCGTGATAACACTGACAAAACAATCCAGTGTGGCGTGGTTTGGTATAATACCAGGCTTACCACGTTTCTATCCAAAAGGCTTGATTTTCATTATCAACTATCTAGGCTGTTTCAAAGGACTATTTTTCATTTTTAAATTCTTGTCTTATTTCCACATGGCAGGGTTAAGACATTTTTCTCCTTCAGGAGGTTCCAAATGGATCATGCAAACTTTTTATTATGCATAGATTACAATGTAGCACATTTGTTTCTCTTGTTTTTACTGAATCCTGGCAAATGTGTAGCTTCAGGCAAAATGAAACGAAGTTGCATGTTTACCAGTTCCAATGCAAAACAGCAATTTTGTCAGTAATATAAAAACATGTCAATGATATTTAAAATAACAGCTATTTAAATCCAAATATATGCTATATACAGTGCAGTTTGTTGTCATTTAGTGGATATTATCAAGTGGAGAGTTCAGCTTAAGAGTAACTAATACTCTGTTGGAGGCAGTGCTGAAAGATCCAAAAGTCCACATCTACCAAAAGTTTGTGGTAACTCTGTAAAACCTCAAACAAGATACAGTTGGAATTTTGCTTCTAGCTAATACAGTAGAGTAATGGAAACTTACTTTTTGTTCTAGCCTATAAGAAAGACATTATTTCAGGGCATGCTCTGGGAGCTGTAGCTGTTTTTAAAAGGAGAATAGAAAAGACATCGCTTTCGATCTTTAAAATAACAAGAAAGGATGATGATGAACCAATTCTGAAGCCTGTTAATTCTGCATAGCTACTCACTGAGAATTATTTTAAGTATCTATGTGATATATTGGCATCACAGCTTCTTTGAAATGCGTGTTTGGTGGTGATTCTCTGCAAGATGACTTTTGTGTGTTTCTAATGCAGGGTGGTAAATCACGTGATAAGGTGGTGAAGATTTTGGTATCGCTGACACCAGATGAAGTGTTAGAAAAACTGAAAAAAGAAGCTTCCACTTGACCTAAAACAAGAGTGGAAAATGGAACAATGTTATGCATCTTGGTGAACAGAATGATGTTTTTTTCTTATGTAAATTGGTCCTTCTGGGAATTTGGATACTGACTGGGAAAAGATATGCTCCTCTGCTCCTTCTTTCTTTGTTACTGGCACTGCTGTGTAGCTGAACTGTTCATGTAGGTTTGGTAGGAAAAGCCTTGTTTACAGAGGCTCTGCGTCTGCTTCTGTCAGTAACACTTGTCCTCTTCCCTGCTCTCTCAGGGTTTCTGAATGCAGCAAAATTTGGTTCATAAAGTAGAAGGCTTGGAGTGCTTTAAAGGCATCAGTGCAATGTGAAGCGCGAAACAGTCTGGGTGGTACAGACCCTGGAAGTGTTCTCTTTAATAGCTGGTGGCAGGTGTTGGGTGCAGTTCCACACTATGCTAAATATACATATCTAAAATTAATGTATTTAAAGCTAATGTATATACTGTGGTTGGTCATCACACAGGCAGGCTAAAACCAGAATTGCTAGTCTGTAATTAGTTACCTGAAAAGCAGAGCTATAATTGTGGTAGCTCTACAAAACGTATCTCAAATGTAATGACTTTTTAATAAAAGAGCAAAAAAATATTACCAAACTTTGTTTTGCATTTGTATTTTTAACAAAAACATTATTTCCCAAGTGTTAGGTACTAGAACATTACTTTAAACAGAACTATTATGCATTTTTTCTCCAGTTTAAAAATGAGCATCATCCTGCCCTGTAGCAAAACTTGTGGAGCCATGGGTAGAACAGAACGAGAGATCTGAAACACAATGGACAACTGTAGCCCAGTCTTAAGGGTAGTGAGAAAACTGAACTTCTTAACGTGGTTCAGCAGTCAGAGTAAGAGTTCAATATATGAGATAACACATGCATCTGGTAGGAATTTGCTTTTTCATCTGAGTCACCACTGATGTCTGAAATTGTTTTATTTTTACTACAGTTGCCATATTTTACACATAAGGAAATACATCTGTATATTTAATACCTACAGTAAAAAAAAAAAAAAAGTACTAACGTTACATATATGAAAGTTACAGCTCAATTCCTCTAGCTAGTCTCATCTGCTGCAAACTGGAGCTCACAGGTTCCATTTTTCATTGTTGAAAAGCTTTTGTTTTTTTGAATGTTCTGCTTCCTATTATCCTAAATATTGCAACGATCATTTTTGGAGTTGGAGGACTAACATTTGTCACCTCCATGAAGGTATCTTATTTTAGGAGATTTTATGAAAAATCTTGTTTGGACTGTTTGGGGAACTCACTCTAAATTGTGACTGGTATTTGCTTAATGTTTTGCAGCTGAGCTGCCTATTTTCTCAGCCTTATGGCCAGCCATACATTGCCTCACTTGCATTTGCTTTTCAGACCATATGGGCCTATGTCTATGTACTGTTCTGTCAGCTTTGGTTTGCAGCTCGTTGCCATTTCATCTCTTCTTGCCCAGCAGAGGGGTGCCATGTCCTGCAGAAAAGTCAAAGCAAGCAAAAAGTAAACATTCACGTTAGTTGGTTGTTCATGTTTTGATTTTATTTATTTCTCAAGCTTCTGTTTACCATGATGGGAAACAGCAATGTGAAGATGGAGGAACCCTGCCTTCCTAGCACTGCATCCTGAGATGAATTCTACAACAGCTGTTATACAAATTTCTCCAGAAGCTGGTACCATGTGTTACATGGCATGTACTATATGCTATATTGAAATACTGTGTTATGCTTTACTCCAGACCCTGATGGAGCTGGGAGCTGGGTAGGCAGGTGTATTGTCTAAGGTGCGTTGGTCGTTGGTGGTTATCTACAAAAGTAACCAGTTTAATGTTTTGATTTCCTCTCTGCTTTTGTTCAGCCTGCTCTGGGAGCAGCATGGCAAAGAAAGCCTTCGTGTAATGAAAACAGAACTTACTTGATATCACCAATCTAAATTATTTCTGAAGGATAATATAAATAACTCTGGAGTTGCTGTGTCTGAGGACCTCTTACATCAAAGTTTTCATGTAGTCTCCCTGTTATAACTATAATATCTGAGTCCCTGATATGTTTTTCCTGATGACTTGCCTGGGAGGCAGGAAGATATTGCATGACACAGCAAAGAGGCACAGTGGATTAAGTGGCTTGTGTGCCCAAACAAGATGTCAGTGCCATAACTGCAATATAGGCCTGGCTCCTTTACATCGTATATTGAAGTCCAAGCCCATCAACTCTCCTCATGAGCACAGTACAACACTTCAGTGCTATTTTCAAAATGGTGGTGGCAAATATTCTATCACTTCTCAGCAGAATGTATTTTTAGTAGAACAGTGCCTCCTTTACCTACTGGTCACCCCCTTATCCATGTGCCTAAAAGTATCCCTTGCTCTAAGCAACGTGATCATTCAACTGCTTGAAATCCTGCTATTTACTGAAGCTCTGCCCTCATTTCCTAATGTTTTGTTTGACTGATTTCAGTAAGTTCTGATGTGATTTCATATCTTAGTTGTGGGCAGTCTGTGTATTTTTGTATGTAATTGAGTTGTTTGAACATGGAAAGTAGAAGTATCTGAATACATTCTATGTCTATGCAGTCTTATGGTGTAGAACATTCTTGCTCTTTCTTCCTCTCAATTAACATTTATTTTCTAAAATCAAACTTTGAAAGTACGTATATGGTTTCATTGCAGCACTACTCTAATATGCTAATGAAGGCTATTTAATTACGTCCTCTGAGGCTGGCCTCCTTGCTCTTTTAGTTTCAATCCACTCCATTTATCATCTGCAGCACATCCCCATCTCTGCTTTTAGTCCCATGTGATTTTAAATCCCCATTTCTTCCTGTATCATCAGTCTAAATAATCCCGTGTAATTGACAACTCTGTCAATAACTGGCAGTGGCAATTTACCAGAAAGTGCAGTTTAATATCTTCCTTCCTTCAGCCTCCAGGAAGATAGATACACCTGCTCCTTCTCCTCATTACCTCACATCTCTCTCTCTATTTCCCCTCTCCTACTGTTTATTTGCATATGTAAAACCTGAGCCAGCTGAATCCACCTTTTATTATTATTCCAGCCCACTATATTCCCCTCCTAATGTTTTTCGCCTTTATCCCATGGGGATGATTCACTGCCACATTAGTGTGAAAATGTGCTGCCATCTCCCCCTGGGAATGCAGTGCTTTACCTGCATGTAAAGCCTCTCTTGCTTATTACTCTCTGTCCCAAGTGCAGCAGCCTTTCTTGGCTCGTAATGTAGCCAACACAAAATAAGCAGACAGAAAGCTGCTGAAGAAATGAAATGCATGCCTGAAAGGAAGAGCCTGGTACTGCTCTAAGGTAATGGGAATTCATTTCTTCCTGGTCCTTCATATATAACTTACAAGTAATTATTAGTAAGCCATGAAGAACTTTGCTTTCCTCTGTAAATACTTTGTTCGTTTTTGTATTGTCTCTTTGAGCTGGGAGAGCTGAAGTGACAAAGTAGGCTACCACACCATCTTACTGCATGCAGCTCAGTTTTTAGAAAGTTGTTTAAATACCATTTGGAGTTTCTAAGCTCATGTGGAAAAAGAAATGTATCGAGTATTGCTATAGCAGTCGGTCACTATAGAAACATGCTGTAAAGATAACAATTGACTTTGGCCTTAAGGAGAAAAGAATTTGAATGAATTTTCAAAGCCTCTTCTGTGCTGCTCGCATGAAGCAGTCTGCCTTATGAGAATAAGTGGGGTTACAAATGATCGTCCTGGGGTAATTGCCATGAAGCTGCCTTTTTTCTGTTACAAGGTAGGTGTGCAGTGCACTTGGGAAAGGCAAGCAGCGCATTGTTCCTTCAGCCAGCTTTTGCTGTTTGTGTCTTGCAAGGATTCATTGAGGCACAATTAAAAAAAAAAAAAAAAAAAAGCAAAGCTCCCAATACATGTTAGGACATCCTTTGTGTCCACCTGTCTGCAAGGGGCACTGACAAGTTGAATTTTTGAAGATAAACTATTTATATGGAACCTTTTTATTTTTCTAGTGCCTCTTGTCAATAGCTTCTTCTAATTTCTTCTAGATGCTACCACGTTATCTTTCTCGTTCCTTGGGGCTTGACAGCAGTTTGTGTGAATTTGAATGCATGTTCATTTTGGAAGGGGAAGAAAAACCTTGTGAGGTGATTTTTGCAGTCAGAGAGCAAAGCCATCCCTCTAGTGGGGCCCTGCAGCAGCTTTGTTGCCTCCTGGCATTTGCCCTTTAATAAAATGTCTCCTTTTGTCTTCAGTGAGTCTGACAGCAATCAGCTAGCACATATTCGAGGTCAAGTTCCTGCTATGAGGAAAGATTGCTATTTGCTACGAGCGTGTACTTCTGAACAGGAATTTTCTTCATTGTTTCAGCTTCTTCATCGCTGCCTTTTGACAGTGAAAATGCAGACTGTTCCTAATAAACGTGATAGGTTCGTGGGTTTTCTTTAATTCCTTTTTTTTCTTTTTGTTTGGATATCATGATTAAGCTCATCATTGTCTGAATATCAGTCCTGATACATATGGAGAGGGGACCAGCCAGGCAAATTGTACTTGACCAATTTCACTTAATTAGGATGTCTGATTCTGCTCGGTCACTTCCTTGCAGAGTTCAGGTTCAACTACTCAAGCAGACCCAGAGCTTTTTGGTGAAATATTTTTAAAAGATGATCAGCTTCTAATGATGTTCTTCAGACTTCTTTTTGCTGTGATTTCTGTCACTTATCAGCTAGAATTTCTAATGAAGAAGTGCCAGGTGATATTTCTGGCAAGGTGTGAATGTGAGTTGAGAGCATCTGAAAACAATGATTTGACAATAGCTGTCATTAAATTGCACTCAGGGAAGCAAGACAAAAAGAAGGTGTTGTGCCAGCTGTATTGAGGTTGGCATTGTATGGGAATTTGAAAGGGTTTTTTTTAAATCTTCCTATAAAATTGATCTCCATGAGATAGAGGTTTTTTTCTTGCACCACTGCTTATATCTGCAAATAAACATTCCACTAAATATATGTTTTATGAAAAACGTTTAACAACCTTTTATTTAGAAAAGCTTTCATTTCTCAGCTGCATGCAATTCCTGCTCAGCCCAGTGGACCAATTCAGTCTTTTCACCTGAGAAGGATCTCACAAAGTGCTCCAAGTTGTACATGCCTGGGCCTATAAATTTAAACAAGCACATCTTGTTAGTTCATTTGAAGATCTTAGCTATTTCCAGACTGGGTTCTTGTCTTTGTCCCACGGGTTTCCATTGGGAGGTACCTTGATTAGACTCTCTGAGGAAACAGAATCTGTTTACTTGTCGTGGGTTTGTGTAATAGGTAAACTTCTCATATCTGAAAATGAAGAAGATAAAACATGAGGAGGGGGAAAAAAGGAATAATTTTTGTTTTATAAAGGTCATTTATTGGTTTATTAGGCTGGGAGCAGATTTTCTTTGCTTGCTGGAAGTATTGACTATATATCCTGAGCTCTGCTGGAGGAAATCATGCACAGAATAGAGCAGAAACTCTGGATGTTTTATAGCACTTTGCTGCTTAGCACTCAAGTCAAAATAGGGAAAAACTGTCACAAGAGTAATACTTTTGTAGGCATATTTTCAAGGACCATAAATCTAATAATTTGCAA